AAGGTAAAGTGATTTCCTTGTAAGGGAGTGGAAGATGGAGCAGAAGGAAGGAAAGAAGGATCTTCTTCCAGATACCTTGTAGGCTTGTTTTTAAATTATGACTTTGGATCTAACAACAGGTTTGGCAAGTGTTTCCCTAGGAAATCCTGACACTATGCCAGATTTTCTTAGCTGTTTTGTTGTAAAGTGTGCATTTTTTAAATACACTGTAATCATTTCAGACCACGTAATTAGAAACACAAAGCAACTTACTGAAACATAGTGATATATTAAGAGTTCAGTTAATTACATGTAAAGAAACAAGTCAGACTTCAAAACCTTTACTGAGTTTCTATTTAGTTGCAACTGGGGCATGTTGATGGGACTTTGCCTGCTTAACACTGAGTAGGAGTTTCAGAATTTTAACCTGAGGGTAACATTTTCAAAAGCATTTAGCAACTGGCTCACTGAAAATCAATAGGACTTTCACTCCTTAGGGCAGCATTTTAGAAAGTATGTAGATACCGAAGTCCAGTTGACTTCAGTGTCTGTACGTTAAAAATCCTGCTTTATTGCCCTACATCTCTTTAAAATAGAAGTGTTACATTTCACTGTCATCTAAGAGCTTTTTAAAATGTTAACCCTCAAAACCAAGCTGTTATCCTCATATTTTTTTCATTTGTAAACCCTTGGTTTGTTTTTCTTTCTTCTTTGAGACGTGCAGAAATCGTAAAACATGTTTTGGATTATAATAGGCTACATTGTCTTCAATGTGGTCTTAAAATCTTACTGCAAATGCTCAAGAAGAGGTGGCAGTTACAATTAGTACAGACAGTTCTTCACTTTTCTTTAAATGTTCCTAGAATCTCAAAATAAACTTAAATATTTCCCCCTTTTCAATCTATTTAATGTCTTTTTTTCGATAAAAGTGATAAATTGCCTCCTTTGAAGCCACAGCCTGACCTAAATTATTCTGTCTACATTATGTATAAAAGCAAGTAGAAAGAGAAAAAAAATTGTAATATGAAATCTTAGGGAGATGAAGAAGACATAAATCAGAACTAATTAGTCATTCTCATTAAACAGAATATGTTGTTTTCCATTGAATCTCTCAAATTGAACTGAGAAAACTAAAAACTACACTTAGTATAGGAAACACTCAATAGGCAAATAAATCTTTTGTTTGAGAGAGTATTTTGGTTCTTTAACATGTTTTCTGTATGAGCTTTAAAACTCTGCTGCCGTGTTGCACAACAGCTTACAAGTTCTCAACAGTTGCATTTATTACAATTTTACCTCACTTTCAGACAAGTTCTCTTATCATGCTCCAAATCAGGTTTTATGCTGCTTTGAAGTATAGTATTAATAAGCTTATTGCTTAACAGAAAATAGCCTGATATGGATTTCTGTTTTAAGGTGAAAAGTAATAAATGTCATTTTCTTTTTTTTTGCAGTCATTTATCTGAGCCTGTACTTACTCTTAATGCATATGCATTTGGAAACAAGTCAGAAGTGCAATGTTCTAGTGGTCTTCTCCTTCGGACAACAACAAATTTTGAACCTTTCTTTCTGTGCAGCCTTCATTCTAATTCTGGCCTTTTCCTGTCATTATTAAAACTGGGCAGGCCCAGTTTTTTTTAAAAATTGGGAATTCCTTCTTATTTTGTTCATGCTCAGTGATCACGTGGTTTACAAAGACAAGGCTCTCTGGCAGTCATTTGTACTTGTCAGTGCATACCCTTCTATTCCCCATGGCTGTTCTGTGCTGCTAGACAGGTGTGTACGCTCCGCACAAAACTTTGCCCTTTGGACATCATTATAGTGTCTAAAACATGGAGGATGGGATCCTGACAGACTTATAAATGGCCACAAAGAAGGGAATTCTCTTTTGGGATCTTCACGGAACATATGCCTTGTATTATACCGCATCTGTTTAGAGAATTGTGGTTTTTTCCATCACAGAAAATGGAAAAGGCAAGATTTAAGGCGTGGATAAGTGTGGATACCGTTCTCTGAAGAGTGATGGATGGCTTTACCACTGCGTTTAGGTTCAGTCAGAAGCAAGGCTGATGAGACACAAGAAGCAGTTAAGTTGAAAAAAAAAAAGCATACAGTTAAATGTAGCACTTTATCTCTGGGTACAAGTACAAACCTTTAGTCTGGTTAACGTGTTTCTTCCCCACAGACACCTTTCAAGGCTCTCACTAAACAATGGCCTTTATGCCATGCCAAGCAGCAGAACGGACCTCTCGTGGATCCTTAGGGGCTGTGAAATCCAGTCTCCTGCACCCTTCATGGTGAGTATTCAACCTCTCCAGACACCCAGGTACAGTCAGTATGCCTTGGCTGATCATAAGCGTTGTAATGGAAGATAAAGGAGAGAGAATTTATTGCCTAGGACTCAAAACATATAGGGTTTTGTAGATCAATAAGAACATCCTGAGTTATGCCCAGAGGCAAAAAGGAAGCCAGTACAGACTTCAAAGACCTTGTGTAATATATTCCTTATGGCAAATATTACAGATAAAGTGCAGAGCAATGTTCTATACAAACCATTAAATTTGACTGACTAGAGTAAGGACAGAGTATATGTTGTATAATTTTATTTTAGAGGCAACAAAGGTAACTTACAGCCTTCCCATGTAAGAACTTCACACAATCTCCTGACTAATGATAGAAGAAAGTATGTTAAAGCCTAGGAACCTGTTCTGAGCTAAGCATCAAGAAGCACCTTTTGATTCTGAGGTTCACTGAGAATAACCCAATTTGACTGACCAGCATCCCTCCCACTCATGCAGCTCCTAATCTCTCTCAAGAGGACTCAGAAAAAGGGAAAGACTGCATGCTCTAGGTTTGACAAAATAAAGGATAAATCAAATTAACTGACAAACTCTTCAGAAGTCTGCTTACTTTTCAAATCAGGGAGGCTGACAGTACCGACCAAGGAACTGAAATAATGAAAATTTCTTACAATATTAGTAACAAGTGGAAAATACAAATGAAATTAAAATGTTTACTCTATGTCTAGAGCACAGAAAAATTAGGTAATCAGTGTTATCCTTTCCTGTGGCAAATTTCCCTTTACAAAGGTTGTAAGAGACTTGTCTTGAGGTCGTCTTTCTCTAAGTGACAAGACCAAGAGAAGTATGTGACAAACTGAATGGTTTCATATAGTCCAAATCTGAAAAGATGATATTTAGCTTGCACTGAAAGTTGAAAAGGTTGAGGCTTAGCAAGCTCATTGCAGACCCAGAGTCCTATCTGTGAGTATGAGAAAAAATGAAGCAGGACTTGAACATTGCCAAAGTAGACCTTTGGTTAGATGATGTTGAAGGGGGAAAAAAAAAAAAAAAAAAAAAAAAAATTGAATGCTAATAGTCTAAAATGTACATATCTTCTTTGATTTTTTTTTTTTTTAAGGAAACTTTTGCTTCCTACTTTTTTTCTTTTCTTTTTTTTTTAAAGGAAGGTAAAATGCACATCTTGGCTTTTATGATTAAATAAGATGTTCCATGAGAGCGGGACTTAGAGCTTTGTCAGAGGTTAGCACTCCTCCATACATTATGCTACTGAAAGATCTTGCTCTGCCTTGCAACATTCTTGTTATTCCAGAACTGGGTTGGGCTAGTCATAATAGATGCAGGCAATCAGCTCAACTTCCCCACACACAGCTCTGCCAGTAAAATTGACTTCACCTTGCAACACTCCTGTTTTTCCTCTGGCTTTTGAGCGAAGGCTATCAGTTTGGCAATTA